TAAAAAAAAAAAGAAGGGGGTGGTTTCTTCATTTAAATGAAAACAGGAAAAAAACAATTTATTATCCAAATTAATCATATTTTACCCTCTATAATATTTTGTGTTTTAAAAGGGTGCAAATAGCATAAGGCTGAACACCTCTGAAATATGCAGTTTTGGCACCAGAAACCCTAGTGATGACAAAAAATTCTACTTTTACTTTTGATAGTGAAATTTGAAGCTTCAGATATGGTGTGGATCTGGTGAATGCGTGAATAATTCGAAATATTTGTCAACAGAACATATTCCAAGATATATTAAGGGCTTGAAACTCATTGATTTTTTCTTTTTCAGATCCATAATTTTGAGGTTGATATATAATCAATTTGATGCTTCTTGGACTAGGATCAACAATTTTCGGCAAGATTTGACATTTGGCTTTCCACAACCATAGGCTGAGCATTTCCTTTTCAAACCCATTTTAGCTTATATTAGATGTCTAAATCATACGTATATCGGCAAACTAAAATAGTACTAATATATACTCCAAAAAGTAGGAGGCAGAAAATCGGGTTAAAAATATGGATTACCAAACATTAAGGTTAGAGAATTTTAAGTTTTGGATTTGGCTCACGAAAATCGAGTGAAAAGTCGGAATGTAAAGATAATACAATGTAAGATTATGTATTGCAATTATTGTATAGATATGTTAAAACTTTTGAAAAATTATCTAGTTTCATGAGAGTCATAATTGACAAATTGTCACCTTTAAATAAATACAACAATATTTAATATATGGGAAAAGTTTATATAGAGCCGAGGCCCTAAACAATCACATTTGAGCCTGCATCAAAAATTTCACCAGATGAGATTGTTTTGATGCCCAAAAATCCTCAAATTGATCATCTCGACATCAAGTTGCATGAATTTGAAAAAAAAAAAAAGTGATTTTAATTTTTGGAAATAGTGTATTTTGTATTGCATTTTTGGACCGTTAATTTTCAAGATTTTCAAGTTTACATAGATATGTCGATTTATACTATTTTTGAAGCTTTAAACTTTATAAATAAAGATGAAAACGTATCTTAAAGCTATCGCAAAGATTTCTAGTTTAGAGCGTAGCCTCTATGGAAACCACCACCCTTATTATATTGTCATAATGTCACAACACAAAACATAGGATAGATTTATTGGGAGCATATATATATATATATATAATGAAACAATAACAATATAAAATTCAAGAACTACGATTGCAAATAATATGATGGTAACCCAAGTTATAGGAGTACTATTGGAAGAAAAAACAAAAGATACCCTATTCAAGAACTACACTAGCAAATAATATGAATGGTAACCCAAGTTATAGGAGTACTATTGGAAGAACACAGAAACCCAAAAATTGTGTTCCATCCAAAATGCTATTTTATATACATCAATGAAATAAAAACTCGTGTTTTAATCGGGGACTTGCCACTGGCCATTTTTTTTGGTATTGTCAACGAGGAGTTTTCATTGAGATGATGAAAAGCACAATGAGGGAAAGCTAGAACCAAAAGTCCCAAAATCCAAAACCAAGAGGAGCGAAGAAAGGGTGTGTGCGTCTAAATGAAAAAGGAACTCGTATTTCAAAGAGTGAAGAAATTGCCCAGTTCAACTGCACGGATGCATGTATGTGTTAAAGTAGCCATGCAATACACACACATGAAGAGAGAGAGAGAGAGAGAGCGATCCGGCCGTTTAGAAATGAAAAAATCATGTGTGCATGTAAAGTATGACAGACAGCTTAGAAACTAGTCCCCCAAAAATAACCCTATTCTAATGCTTACAAAAGTAAAAGTAAACACATTAAATATCCAAACAAAATAATAGAAAAGAAAGGCAAGGCAATACCTCTAAGCCTCCGTACAAATGCATCAATCATTCCCACCTTCCTCATGAATATATACAGAAACCTCTCTTCTCTCACTTGTCATCCAATGGATATCTCCTCTCTCCTCTTTCTTCTCTCTCTCTTCCATCTTGTGTCAGCAAAGGTGTTCCTTGTCTTGATGGATGACGACCCAGTCATCTCGTTTAAGACTTCCAATGCCACCCTTGTAATAAGGTTTTTTCAGTTTTTTTTTTTGTTTTAAGCATTTTTTTTATATTTTACTCTATTTTATTGTTTTGGGTAATTTAATGGGGATATAAACCTCTACCGATTTTTTAAATCGTTAGTGATTTTTATAAGTGTTGGGTGAGAATAGAAACTTAAACTTTAACCAGGGCTCATGTCTAAACATTTTATTGGGTTTTGCAGGAGTAATGAAGCATTTTAAATCGTTAGTGATTTTTATAAATGTTGGTTGAGAATAGAAGCTTAAACTTTAACCAGGTCAGGTGTCTAAGCTTAAACTTTATTGGGTTTTGCAGGAGTAATGAAGATATGAAAGTGTACAAGGAGAGTTTGATAAGAAAACATGATTCGTTATTGGAGTCCGTCCTCTCGGATGTGACTTACACCAAACTCTACTCCTACAACCACCTCCTTAATGGTTTCGCATTCCACACCGACTCCCTTGAGGTACACTCGTTATAAAAATTCCCTCTCAAGATCACCTAATGCCTTTTTTTTACCACAATAATAATAGTTAAATAAATAAGCGCTTTGCTAATCCAATTAGTTAAAAAGGGTTTTGACGAAGATGACACAATAAATAAGCGTTTTCTAGACTTTGAATTTAGGTTTTATGCGTCAATAACTATAGTCTATACTATAGAAGAGGTGACCTCAAATTGAATGAAGAGGTGACCTAAGTCTACCAAGAAATAATGCATGTGGACGTGTTCATATGTAGTAGTGCGTTTCACTTAAAACCCTTTAATTAATCTCCCTTTTATATAATTACTTTTTTAGGAAGGATTAAAACGGCATGAAGTAAACATATGCATTATGCATAGCAATCACTAATTCTTAGTATCCCGAAAACAATGTTGTCTGAACTTGACCAAAATAGAAGTTGCTCTAGGAGCAAGACTACAACAATAGCAATAGCTACTCTAGTAAAAACGATAGTTATCAAGATTGGAGGAACCAGCCAGTTGGATTGGACCTCCCACAGCTGTTTTAACTGATCTGATCGAATAAATTGGGTTTGGTTGCTAGTGTAAACTCATTTTTTGTCGATTTTGACTAATTGAATTGGTTGATTTTCATAGGTTTGTTTGGCTCAATAAATTTGGGTAAAATTTGTAATACATTTCGGGATTTAAATTAACATTTGTACTTTTAAATTTTTGAAGGACGCAATTTCTATGAGTCCATGTAGAAATGAGTCACCTCTTAAAAATCTATTTTTGAGATGGATTTTTAGACTTAATTTTTAAGGACATGTAATCGAGATCATGAATATGAGAAAAATAAATAAATTTTGAAAATTAGAAATATAATCCTATTAAGAAATCATTTGGACCGTTAGTTTCAATTGTTTTTAGATGGACCACTTATTTGCATCCATCTTCAAGATCGAGGCTTTATATCTCGGGGACCCCAAATGTAGAAATGCGGTCCCCGCCGCAAGAAACAATTTTCTTTTTTTAAATTCAGTCCAACTAGTTCCATTAGTGGTTGGACTGGTTTTGACTGAATCAAATCTCTTATCAATTCGATAACCAGTACGATCTCGATAAAATGTGAAAACACTGTGACTAGAAGTAATTGGGTATTATGCAGGCACTAGAAATGCTGCAAAGCACAAAAGGTGTCCGACTCATTCATGAAGATTGCAAAGTATCAAAAGCCACAACGCACACGCCAGAATTCATGGGAATCCCGATCAGTGTGTGGCCACAGTTTGGGGGAGCCCAGGATTCCGGCAAAGGAGTGGTCATAGGGATGATAGACACCGGTGTCAACCCCTCCCACCCCAGTTTCTCCACAGGCAATACAACCTCTAATAGTAGCAACCATGGTCATGAGACCACTAGTACTAGAAAGATGATCACTAGTGCAAGCAATATGAATCATGAAACCAGTAGTGATATAAGTGGAACCAACATGAGCCATGGTTTTAGAGGGAGGTGTGAGATTGGAGAGGGGTTTCCTGAGAGTACATGCAGTGGGAAGATTGTAGGGGCACGATATTTTGCACGTGCGGCCATCGCGGCTGGAGATTTCAATGCCACACGTGATTATGCCTCACCATTTGATGCAGATGGCCATGGGAGGTAATCACTCGTTGCTTGCTTTTTTTCACCATTGTATTCTTTACATAGGAATGAGCATGCCTCAAATCTCACGCCAAGATGATTTGTAAAATAATTAAAATAAAACATATTTAGGCATTTTATTTAATGGCTGAAGCTATCACATCTATCTATTCAAATCGGATAGGAAAAGAAATCGCAGTAGTTTTTTTATGTAGGTGGCAGGGACACGAATGTTTCCCTTTGCGCATAAATATTTTACTTTGCTAATGTTCCCCTGTTAATGCAAAAAAAGCTCTTAAATAACTCTTTTTTTTTTTTGGCGGGATTGAATAGAATAAGACCATTTATCTTTGTTATAAAGAGGTCACAATGATTTACGGTCATTAGATGTCAAATTGGATGGCTTTGGAGTTGTCACAAAGTTCAAAAGAACTTTGAGTCCAGTCAATGACACTCTTATAACCACCCGATTTAAAATTTGACGTACGGAATAATTGCGACCTCTTTATACCAAAATAAATGGTCTTTTTATATACTCTCTTCTTCTTCTTTTTTTTCTTTTTTTTTTTTTCCCTGTTATCATATCCGCTGGAAATCGATCCTCATGATGTAATAGGCACTGCTCTTCTTGTTTAGTCTTCTTATTCAGGCCCTGGTCTTCTTGTTTAGTCTTCTTATTCTTCTCTTTCTCTTTCTTGTTTGCAATGGCAACATTCGTACTAATAATTACATGTAAGTATTTTGCGATATCAATTATATATGTAACGTAAGAAACTTACGTGTGTGTTCCGTAATGTTCTATTATTTAAAGGTTATGTATAATTTTTATTATTATCTTTATAACTGTATTTTCTGTAATTTTTTAAATGACTTAATTACTAACATTTTCGATCTTCAAGATCTCAAAATAAACAATTTTAGAAATTGATTTATATTTTAAAATATTTGAACTCCAAAATTAAGTTTGTCAGAAATTTGTGAAATTTCCGCTTGATTTTTGGTTTTTGAATATTCGAAATATAATATATTTTGGATATGTAATATCCCAAAAGATTTAGGAGAAAAGACATAAACCCCATCTAAAATTATAATTCAAAACAATCCTTGGTCCTAGAAATAACCCATGGAACATAAAATAGACGTTTAACATCCTCTTTACCTTTTCGATCGTCCACAAAATTTACCATTTTCTTTCCCTTAATCAACATATTATTTAAATCCTGGAAAAGCTCTCTTTCTCTTTCTCTTTCTCTTCCTTCTTTACTTGGAGACCTCTTCTTCTCTCTCTGGCGACTTTTTTTGAATAATTATCACTCTCTCCCCCATCTCATAAAGCTAACGAGTTAAAGATGCGTTACAAACTCGATTTTTATAATGAGGTTATTAGAAAAAGAAGAAGCGTAAATTCGGCAATTTGGATAATAAAAAAAAGGTAAAGAGAAGGTTAAAACGCTTTTTTTGGTTCAATGGGATATTTTTATTTGAAATTATAATTTTAAAGACGGGGTTTATATCTTTTTCCCCAAAATTTATTTGGCCCAAAAATTACAAAATTTTAGACTTTCAAGATTTGAAATATAGAAATTAGCTAAGGTCCCATTCAATACCCAAACCTTTTAAATACACAATTTCAAACTTTGAAGTATGAAATAGGGGTTGTTTATAATAATAAAAGGTATAAATATAAATTAAAAAAATTTAAAAATGACTTTTTTAATAGAAAAAGTATAGACTATTTACTCTGTGTACGGTTTGTATAGAGCCTAGGCTCTAAACAATCAAATTAGATCCTACCTTCAAATAGTATCAAGAAATGTGGTTTCAATACTGGAAATCTTTGTGATAGCCTTAAAATATATTATCATCTTTATTTATAAAGTTTAAAGCTTCCAAAATAGTGTAGATCAACAGATCTATGAAAACTTGAAAATTGACGGTCCAAAAATAAGTTACAAAATACACTTTTTTCAAAACTTGAAATCCATTTTTTTCTCATGTCCATACATCTTGTCGTCGAGATGATCAATTTGAGGATATTTGAGCATCAAAACAACATCTTCTAGTGAAATTTTTGTAGTCGGCTCCAATTTGATTATTTAGAACCTCGGCTCTATATAAACTCTTCTCATTTACTTTTAGGACAAGAAGTGAAAATTGACTTTGGAAAAGTTTTATATGTGCCCCCTACAACATAGAAGTTCTATGTTCCCCCTTATCCAACAGTCCATTTTTTAATGGAGGGCTAAGATTGTTTCAATCACAATGTCACGTCTCTACAATGTTTTATTTTTAATTTTTTTTCTACAAACTTTTTTGACACCAAATTTTGGATGTCTATCCATATATTAAACTAGCACTAAAAACAAATATATAAAAAAAAATTTAATAAAAAATTACCAAAATACCCCTGAAAGATTCAAGAGGTATTTTGGTCATTATTTTTTATCGAAAAATTATTGTTAATATTTTTTATAGGTGCACCCCAATGAGAAGATAGCACGTACCAAATTTCATATTCAAAAAAATTGTATTAAAAAAACTAAAAATAAAATACTTTGAGACGTCGGATCTAAGATCAAACGCTGAGTGGCTCTCTTGATAAAAAATAGACGGTTAGATGGCAGGGGGAACATAGAACTTGTATGTTACAGGGGAAACATAGAAAGCTTTCCCATTGCTTTTATCTATCAACTTTTAAATGTAGATATTGTAAATGTGTCATTGACTTGACTCAACAACCAAAATAAAATTTTTTGAATTTTATGACACACTTAATGCCATTTAATTTGACATCTAAAGACCAAGTATGATTGTGAAGCCGCCCTTGTGATAATAGTAACGGTACCTTTTTAATAAAAGAAGAATTCAAGAATATGTGCATGAATTTCTCTTTTTCTTAATATCAAAATTGTGGTGTTAGAGTTATCCATAGAGATACAAGAAAGAGAGAGAGAGAGAGAGAATGAAAAAAAGGTGTAGTAAATTTTAAGGGAGTCTGCTAGATATTGCAAAAGATTCAAGAGTATTTACGAGGAAATGTGTATAGTTGAGAGGCGATTTTGTAACACATCGTATTAAGTTAGCAAGTTTGTCACTAATAAAACAAGGAATATGTTTACCATCCAAAATATTTGAATGGTGTGGATTTTGGCATGATAAACTTAGGAGCCCCATATTTCCTTCTCTCATGCGTTCCCACCCCTATCTCCCTTCTCACTTTATCAAATTGGTTTCTCTTTTCAAGCTTTGGCTCCATGGAATACTTTTTCTTTTTCTTTTTATTTTTTTTATTTTTTCCCCTTCTGAAATTATTGTGCTATGAATGATTTTTGGGTGTTTTCTTCTGTTTACCTCTTTAAAATAGGTGTCTGTCCAAAACTTGTGAAGTTGGATTTTTGATGGGTTTCCCTTTCTCTCTTTAAAACTGGTTTCTCTCTCATTGGTATTTGATGGCTTCTCTCTCTATAATTTGTTTGGGTGTTTTTTGATGGTTCGCAATTTTACTCTAAATTCTGATCTAAATTATGTGGAAGTTGAGAGGAGAATGAATTGGGTTTGTATCATGACTTTTGCTATGGATTTTTATCTCTTTTTTTTATATTTATATTTTCTTTTGACTTCGGTTTTTATTTTTTTTGCTACTTTATAAACTCAATTGATGGAAGGATTCTTATCCTACACAGTGTGTTTCTAACTTCTGAGTTTCCTTCTTCCATTGAAGGGTCTCGATTTGATGTAGATAGAGAAAAAAGAAGAGACGAGAGAGAGAGCATAAAAAAAATTGTAAGACTGATGTAGATAAAGAAAAAAGAAAAGCGATGAGAGAGAGCATGAAAAAATTGTAACTCTCAAAGAAGAAATTGAGGCCACAGAAAAGCCTTGATTTTTCTCATTGATTCAGGTGCCAAAGTGAAGGGTACATATGGTTGCACCCCTACTTTAATAAATAGGGCTGCAGCCTAGTAGAAACTGCATCTATAAAACAAACAAAAGCTGGATATTTAATTTCAAATGAGATCCATAAGGCCTTTGTTTGCTTTGTGGATGCAGTTTCTATAAAGTTGAGCTCTATTTATTAAAGTTGGGCTTCAACTACATGCACCCTAGGCTTTCTATTGCCCCAGTTTCTTCTTAAACCATCTCTCAATTGTTTTTTGATGCTCTCTCTCGACTCTTCCTTTTTCTCAATTTGCATCAAATCATCAATTTTTTTAGTGCTCTGTCTTTGAACAGAAATTGAAACCCATCAATGCGATAAGGAAACTCATAAGTTGGAAAAGAATCCTTCCATTAATTGAATTTATAAAGTAGCAAACAAAATAAAATAAAACAAGTCAAAAGAAAATAAAAATATAAAAAAAAGGGACAAAAATCCATAGCAAAAGCAATGGCACAAACCCAATTCATTCTCCTCACAACTTGCACCTAATTTAAAGTAAAATTGTCAAACCACACCCAAACAAAAAATTATTGAGAGAAGCCACCAAATACCAATCAGAGAGAAACCCAATTTTAAAGAGGTAAAACCACACACCCAATAATCTTCCATGGCACAAAATCCACACTGTTCAAATATGGACCCCCTCAAAATTGTGCGTTTCAGCAGATGATGAAAAATGGTAGGTTTTGAAAGACTTGAAGATTCGGGGCCATGTTAACGCATTTTTTTGCTGGAAAAGGGTTTGGGTGAGGGTCTAGAATTAGGATTCTCTTCAGAAAGAGAAACCAATTTGATAAAGTGAGAAGGGAGATAGGGGTTGTGATATTTGATGGAAATGCATGAGAGAAGAAAAATGGGGCTTATGATGCCCAGGTTTTTTTTTTTTTTTTTTTTTTTTTTTTTTTTTTTTATAGATTATCGTACCACAACCCACACTGTTCAAATATGGACCAGGTTTCTATGTGGTCAAGCCCGCATATGTAGAAATACATTTTAGATGGATTTTTGGACTTAATTTTAAGAATTTCTAACATAGAGATCATAAATATGAAAAAATAAGTAAATTTTAAAAACTAAAAATAATAATTCTAGTAAGAAAACATTTGGATTGTTAGCCTTCATTGTTTTTAGATGGAACACCTACTTGCATCCGTTTTTAAGATGGATGCTTTATACTTTTTGGACCACATATGTAGTGTCCAGTCCGCATGAAACAATTTTCCTTCAAATATTTTGAATGGTGAAGAGGCTGAAGCCCTATCAATTATTGAAAGAAAGATGGTTGGATAGCTTTGTTCTAATTTTTTATCTTAAAATTTTCTATAAACTTTTTTGACATGAAATATGGGATGGGCCTCATAAAAATATTCCTAATAAAACATAAAAATCACCAAATTATCCAAGTTATAGAAGTATTTTAGTTATTTTATTGCGTTAGAGACATCTTTTTTGTTACACCGATGTAATGAGAGGCTACGTCCACCTTTTATGTCAATATGATTCATAAAAAATGTAAAAGTAAAATATTTTGATCGTCCGATAGAGATGTTTGGAAGCTAAATTGTCAGATTATAATCGAAGCTATCCAAGCTTTCTGAATGGTATGTAGGGGTGGCAATGGACCCAGACCCCTGATGGGTAGATCCAATCAAAGTCGGGGGGATAGGTCCAAAAATTGGACCTGGCGAGTCAAGTTTGGGTTCAACACTATTTAAGTTTCTATCTGGGTCCATGTAAACCCGACCCCAAATAGTATTGATATTTAAATAATATATAATATATAATATTTAAATAAAGAAAAAGTTTACATAAGGATGCAACCTTATAATGGAGAACTACGGATGCACCTCAAAAATCCATCTGAAAAAGTAGTTTTAATGTTGAAAAACCCTTTGATTGATCATCCCGACATCGAAATGTATGACCATGAAAAATAAAAAGATTTTGAGTATAAGAAATAGTGCATTTTCAACATATTATCTACACCATCCATTTTCAAGATTTTCATATGTTTATAGATCTACTTGATTTTAACCATTTTTTAAATTTTCAATTTTATAATTAGATATAAAAATAGATTTTGAGATAATCCTAACAACATTTTACATCAAAATTCCAAAATTTGAAGGTGCACCTTACCTCTATAGCTACGGATGCATCTGTATGCCAACTGCACCCTTTAAATAAATATAATTATAAGTTTTTAGTTTTAATATCTAAATAATATATTATATGTTTAACAAATTTGTGAAATATATTTAAATAAATAGATATTTGGATTTTTGGGTTAGATCTCGTTCCATCCCACATTATATTTTAGGATCAGGTCCGAGTCCGGCCAGTCCGAAGCCGAACCGACCTGTTGCCACCCCTAATGGTATGTATACTTTTCGTGCAGCAAGGGGCACATCGAAAGTTCCCTCAAATGAGAGGTAAAATGGCGAGTCATGTGTTATATGTGAGAGAGAGAGAGGCCATGTTAGAGAAAGAGTACTGAAAGTCAGAAATTAACATAAATAACTCTTAAATTTTATGGCATTTGAAAAATCTTCCTCATATTCATATTTTTCACTCATTTCCTGTTTTGTATCTTTTATTTTTCCAAAATACTCCAAGTCTCAAGTCTAGTGTCCTTTTTTTTTTTCCTTGAGTGACAGTTAAGAATACGAAGTCCGGATGGAATTTGAGTGAGGGACTTGAAGTTCTGAATTGCTTATTCATGCACAAAATACATGTATCCTCAATTCAATTCCGAACTTAAACACTTGTCTGCCTATTTGAGGGAACAAGCAGTTTGGAACTTTTGAGTTTTAGATAATTTCAAAACTTCCACTCAATTTCAAAAAAAAAAAAAAGTCAATTTGAAACTTTAATTTCCAAATTGATTCACTGAATGAAAAAAAAAAAAACATTGATTTGGAACTTGACGTTCCAAGTCAAAGGTATTTTTTAAATGAAAAAAGTCAAAGGTATTTTTTAAATGAAAAATTTTTAAAAAAAATGCAAGAAAAGGACATGAGCATGAAATATGAAAGATGGGGAATACTTTTTAAATGCTACAAAAATAAGATATATTTATGTTCCATTATGCTGTAGAAAAATTTTAAGGAGTAAATTTATTGGCATTCCAAGTGCGGTGGAAATTCCATCACGTTCTCTCTCTCAATTAGTTGATTTCAATTATTTTGGAAAGAAGTTCCATGTTAACATTAATAATAATAATAATAAACCTTATATTAGGAAGAAGTTCTGATAAGGTGTCAACTTTATAGTATAGCAGTGAGGTACACCTCAAATATCTATTAACGATATTTCAATTTATTATCTCCACCTCGAGATGTATATGGAAGAAAGAATGATTTTAAGTATTTAAAATAGTTTATTTTTTGTAAGGCATTGTCTAGACTGTCCATTTTTAAGTGTTTATAATTCTGCTTGATCTATATTATTTTTGGAACATTAAATTTCATAATTAAAAATAAAAACAGATTTTCAGGCCATTATAGGACTTTTCAAAATCCACCTCCATTATACTGACGTTCTCTCTCTCTCTCTGGGGTGTAAGCAGTCATACGGCTTCAACAGCAGCTGGAAATCATGGTACTCCGGTGATTGTAAAGTGGGTTCAACTATGGTGAAGCTAGTGGCATGGCTCCTGGAGCTGGGTCAGTTAAAATAACACACTCTCGGCTATAATTTAAAGATTATGTTATTATTGTAGTGTTTATTACGAGAAGATTGATTTGAAATACGTTGTTTTGCAGGATTGCTGTCTACAAAGCATTGTATTCCTTTGGAGGTTACATGGCCGATGTCGTGGCTGCCGTTGATCAGGTTCCAAATCTTATCTTAAAATATCCAACATTACCTTGAGTCAATGCATTTCTCAGATGTCATAATTAGGAGTTGTGCTTATGCTTGAGTGGTTAGTCGTTGACATTAATAATTCTACATCTCAAGTTTGATTCCAACTATCACATCTCAAGTGCGATTTGCTGAAGTACCACAAAGAAAAAAATAATAAGACCCTTGGGTCTGTACAATTTCCAAAAAGAAAATATTCCCATGATTATTGAATTATTACATTTTTAAAAGACTCAAACACCCTTGAGTAAGTACAATTTATAGAAATGATCAAAATAGCCTTAATTCAGCAATGTTATGGTGGTCACAGGCAGTCGAGGATGGAGTTGATATAGTGAGCCTCTCTATAGGGCCCTCGAGTGTCCCCCCCGGATCCTCTGCCTTCCTCAATGTTCTCGAGATCGAGCTCCTCTTTGCTGCAAAAGCCGGTGTGATGGTGGTTCAGGCAGCAGGAAATGGCGGTCCCACCTCTAGTTCAATTCTATCCTTTAGTCCCTGGATCACCACAGTCGCCGCCTCAATTACCGATCGCAAGTACAATAATTCCATTGAGTTGGGCAATGGCCAAAGGTTCCCCGGCACTGGCCTAGCACGTAAAAAGTCTTTCCTTGTTAATATTTTTCTCTTCTTTTCACTACAATAAAGAGGAGTTTACTGTAATGCAATTGGCTAAGGAAAACCATAGTCCTATGGATCATAACCATCCCAAGTATAGATGAATGGTGATGGAGTGTGGGACCTACCATTCAAGTCATGTGGAGTTGACGTGGGTCCCACATATTCTCCATCACTATCCATCTAAGGATTTAATAATAACTACCAGACGAACTACGGCATCTCCATAGTTCAATAATGTGCAAATCCCTTTAAAGATGTTCCCTTTTCCATTGATCTCTCTGTCCTTTCTCGTATGAGAGCTCATTTGGCGACCTATTCTCCTAGTCTTGTTTAGTCCACATAATGAATTATGTAATAAATTAAAACAAAGTAAACGAACATTTGTAATAATAAAGTAGACATATAGACTGTTGGGTTTGGTGATAGTTAAATCACCATACCTATATTTTCTTCTAGAAGATTAAAGGTATTATTGCAAAAAGAAAAGGGACTTTCTTGGAAATCAAGAAAGTGAAATTTATATAAGGGAATCAAAGAACACATAATACTCATCCTTTGAGGATCACCCCTTTGGGGGTTATGAGAATGGATCTCCAATATGTAGATACGTCTCCAAGAGAGAGAGACATGGCCTCTGAGAGAGAGGCGGTATTCCCATGCCATGAATTTTGGGTTGGCTAAGGCTTCCACTTCTAGAAAGGAAAAGTCTTTCGGTTGCTCTCGAGGTTATCTTTCCGGTAGTGATATTGCGGTGGGAAAGAAAGTCTTGATAGACGGTTTTGCTCGGTCGAGAGAGCAGATTTAGAAGTGAAGATCAATGATGGTTTTTTACTGATGTTTAGATAAAGTTATATCTCTGGTAACCCAAAACTATAATCTTCATTGTAATAGTGGATTTCGACTTACCGAGGTCGTGGATGTAGCCCTATGAGTTGAACCACGTAAATCTTGTGTTGTGGTGGTGTGTTTTTTTATGTTTTCTTTATTTATCGCACTCGATTTATAGTTGTATTCATCTACTTTGCACTTAGCACCAATAATGTACACGATCTTGGTTGGGATCCCAGTATTTGGGATTCTCAGTTCCACAAGTTAGGAGTTCACGAAACCCTACAATTGGTATCAAAGCATAAGGTGTATGTGGGGCTAAGGCTCGCATTGAGAAAGAGAGAAGTCTTGAAGTTTGATGGATTCATTGTTTGAAGTGGAGAAACATGGAGGCAAAGTGTTTGTTAAAATTCTACAATAGAGGCTAGTATGAAGAAATCAAGAAATTTATTTAATAAAAGTTGTCAAGTCAATTATGGTCATTTTGCTAATAAGGTGGAGAGTGTTGGGTTTGGTAGTAGCTAAATCACCATACCCATACTTTTTAGAATTGGAAAGTTTGTATCAAACAAAATCGCTCACAAATCGAATTTTCTTAAAAAAAAAATTGTATTTTCTGAAAATGAAAGAGGGTGCGAAAGTGTTGGAACACTTGAATAAATTCAATACTATCATTTATCAACTTGAAAGTATAGGTGTGAGAATGGAAGATGAATATAAGGCAGTCACCTTACTTTGTACATTGTCGGAATCCTATGATAACCTTGTTACTATGTTGAGTTGTACTAAAGAAGATTCTCTTGATTTGGGTTCGGTTTGTAATGTACTTCTTGCCAATGAAATTCGAAAGAAGGCATCAATGGATGGTTCGAGGATGGATGTCCTTGTGGCAAGAGGCCGGTTGGATGAACGTATTAGGTGCCCCGTTAGGTAAGGTTGAATAAACATCAAGGCCTAAATGGTAGGAGGTAGTTAGTTTCTTATTTTAAATAAGCATCAGGGCCTAAATGGCGCCTAACAGAAGGGGTTGGTTCATACATAGATTCCTCAAGTAGCCGATCAAATTCGAGGGGACCTTATGACAAAGGTTGTTGGTTTTGTGGCAACCTTGGCCACATAAAGAAAAATTGTTAGCAAAGAAAAAGGAAAAATTCGTCAGAGTGTTTCGGTTTGGGAATAGAAGGGAAAGGTGAGGCCAAAATGAGGCTCACCAAATTGAACAATCAACATCCGGTTATGTTGAAAATGAGGTGTTGATGATAGGATCTAATCTCATGTATTATCAAAGTTGGATACTTGATAGTACAGCTACACATCTTATGTGCCCACATAGATCATGGTTTGATGCATATGACCCATGTGACCGGTTTAGCATCAATGGGAAACAACCCAATGAGTGAGATGATCATAATGGGTACAATTCGCATAATGTGTATGATGGGATGGTTGAGACACTTGAAAGAGTGAGGCATGTGCCGGATTTGAAAAAAGAGTTTGATTTCACTATCTTTCGCTAAATATGGAAGGCTACAAATTTACCAGGCAAAGTGAAGTGCTCAAAGTTTCAATTGGGGCTCTGGTGATGATGAAGGGAGTTCGGAAACGAAACTTGTATAAATTGTTAGGAAGCACAATTGTGAGTGAAAGGGTAAATTTGATTGTAGAGAAAGATGAAGCTCACAAGGAGGCACATGGTTTGGCAATTGAAGATCTTAGTGGTATAAAGCAATGTCTCGATGAAGCAATTCATCAAGGTGGAGAAATCGAAGCTATGAAACTTTCACAAGAGGATGTGAAGGTAAAAACACCAAATGAATTTTCTTCGGGCCAATGTTCAAAGTGTGGTGAAAGAAGGGGCGATGTGATTAGACTGTTGCATACTACTCTAATGTTGATTATGATTATTGCTATGATTTCTATAAAATTTGTTATTTCTATTGTTTGTAGTTTTCTTGAATGGTTTGTGTTTAGCCTAGGAAGAAAATGTTGGAATGGAGTGAAATGGGTACTTCAAAGTTTGAGAAGTATGGGCAAGCATTGCCAAGGTTATGGACACAAAGAAGGCCTCATAGAAGAGACTTATGCAAGGGATCTTGGTGATATAAGATCAAACACAGGTTGTGCTTGTAGGTGTGTAGATTCACCTAGAGCATGTGTGAAGGCAATATGGCTTCAAGAATGAGAGTATTGAAGTAGGTGGAGTTTGCATAAGAAAAACAAGTACGAAAGAAGATGAGCAAGGCATACTCATATCGGTTATTGGGCTAGAGAGCTTATGGAATTGGCTAAGTTCTCTAAGTTCTTCAAAAAGGGAATAACCGGAAATGATTTGGCAAGACAAGGGTGTGATTTTGCATCAAGGTGGAAATTGTTGGGATATGATGCAAATATCACCCCTATGGTATTTGTTTTTTGTTAAAAGGTATTTTTTGTCATAGAAAATGGGTCATTTATAGAGGTCTATAAAAGACATTTTTAGAAAGAGAGAACATAAGGAAAGAAGAGAAAAGTGTAGAGAAGCTTTGGGAGGTAGAGATTGGAGGTTTTTTGTGTAAACCCTAGCACCATTGTAACTCTTGTATTATGCCGGACTTGATCGGGGTTTCCTTGCGGCGACGGTGCTGATTAATGGAGACAAAACAATGATTCAATTGATGGTGGGATTTTGGTATGAAATTTCTATTGAGTTTTCTTTCCATATATGAAGTAATCTCTACAAAACCCTAAACTTGTAAATTTCTTCTTTGAAATAATAAATGCATCCTTGCCTTCTTGCCCGTGGACGTAGCTCATTTTGGGTGAACAACGTTAATCCATATGTCTTCAATTTTTTGCTTGTGTTGTGATTATAATGATTTTCCATATTGCTTGTTTTTTTATTGTACAATATTTTCAAATATATTTTGCACACAATATTGTTCTTGAGGGATTTTATTTGGGTTGTTGGATTCATTATTGTGGGGTGTTCACCGCATCAAGTAGGGATTTGTGTTATCCCACTTTGCCAACAAGGGGTCATCGAGATAACCTCGGTTGTCAACATAGACAAATCCTTTTCCATTTACAAGAAATTACACAAATTATTTTGAATGCCAGGGAGGATGAGTAAATTTCAAATTTTACTCACTGATAACATGATTTTGATGCAGCTCCGACGCTGAGAATGCTGCATTTCCCAGTGGCAGCGGCAATCGATGTCAGTCAAAGTAACACAAGCTACATAGCGGTTGAGAATTGTCAGCACCCTGGAGCATTCATTCCTGTGCTAGCGAGGGGAAAGATCATCATTTGCACCTACACTTTTGAATTCGAGTTCGAATCAGCGAGCATAACGACGGTTGCCGATACCATGGAGAAGATAGGAGCCGCAGGGTTCATAATCACTATGGATCCTGATCTTGGTGCTAGCCAAGTCAAGGGCACCACTATCACCATGCATGTCCCTGGGATCATATTGAGCAATATGCAAGCATCAGGGGTGAGATTCACTGGCTAGAATTCGGAAACAACACAAGCAATAAGATAAGATAAGAAAACTATTTGGTTTTAGAATTTTTGTTTTTCCTTTTTTGTAGCCTAGCTTGTGGTGTAGTGGTTGTGATAATTAGTTTGCATTAGGGGGATAAATGTTTGCACCTTGGAGTTGGTCCCTCATAGAAGCCAGATAATCCTATAAAAAAGTGACAAATCTCAAACTACTTCATAAATAAAAAAATTGGACCTCCTAAAAACTTTGAAGGTGCTAGTCCCATATTGAGAATTAAAAATAAAAAAATAGTCCCAAAATTTTTCCAAAGTCCAAAAACTTTGAGCCTTATTGATAAAAACTGTGCAATGTAATGATATTTTGGCCATTGTTTAAGGATATATTAGGACACTAACCAAATGTTAGTTGGACCACTGCACCAATCTAAGAGCACTTGGCCATCTAGTCTAAAGCTACAGATCATTGTTAGATAATTGCAAAGAAACATCAAGCCTTTTTGTGATTATTAGGATGTCTCACATAGAAAATCTTGACAGGCATTGTGGGAGTACTACAATGCAAACACTGTTCGTAGTCGCGATGGTGGAGCCATGTCATTCGGTGCAACAGCGAGGATTGGTGATGGAAGGGAGGCAACATTCACGGGACAAGCACCCATCGTTGCATCCTACTCCTCAAGAGGGCCCGACGTAAACAATGCCCTTCTCCAAACAGCTGATGTGCTTAAGCCAACCATCATGGCCCCTGGTTCCTCCATTTGGGCAGCTTGGAGCCCCAATAGTGAAGGAGATCAATATGCTAAAGGTGCTGCAGTAGCTTCATATTTTGATTGCTTAAGTTGATGGCTCGGTGTCCATTAAGATTCGGAGAAAAAGAACTTGATACGTAAAAAATGTTTTTCTTGTAGCCAAGGAATTTAAAAATTGCTTAAATTATGGTACCCAGGTTTCTGTAACTCCTGATTTCGTAGGTTTCTTTCAATAATTATCTCTTGTTTCCTTTGGATTTCTTCTATTATTTTGTTTTTTACATGAGTGATCTTTAGACCTTATGTAGCATTTAGTATCGTTTAATACATCACATTCCATTTTTTTCTTTTTCTGCATGCTGCTTCTTTCTGGTCAGGTTATATTCTTCAAAATTATCTTCCATTCTATTGCTATTAAAAAAAATAAAGTTGTATTATATGTTCCATATGATGTCATATTTGTTTCCTTTTTCTGTTTCTCTTCTGATTGTTTTATCCCTTGAATTTTGAATTTCCTTCTCGTCAGATTTTCTTGTTCTTATCCTTTGAAAGGAAAAGATACTTTTTGTTGTTCTATCATCGATTTTTAGCATTTTCAGTTGCAAAGAAAAATCTCCTCCAGGTAACTATTAGTTCTAGTTGCAGATTTCATTAGCTATAAGCACCAACTGAAAAGGTTGGTGCTGATGAGACATAGCTTTCTTAGGTTGGAATTCCTGTTTACCCACATCAAGGAAAACAATCAAAATATAAAACAACAGACTCCATTAAATGGAAGCATTCCCACACATTCCAACACTCATTCTTCTAAATGACAACCATTTAATCCCCCTTAAGCTCCCTGCTTAACCATAGTCCATTGCATCATCCTTCTCCAGGACAAGAATTCGCGCTCGTATCTGGAACCAGTATGGCTGCCCCACATGTGGCCGGAGTGGCTGCCTTAATCAAGCAGAAGCACCCGGACTGGAGCCCGGCCGCCATAACCTCGGCCATCATGACCACAGCTACCGTTACCGACCACTCAGGGAACCCCATACAGGCACAGAGGTCCAACCAGCTAAACACTGCCACACCATTTGATTTTGGAGCTGGTGCCCTGAACCCCACAAAAGCAATAGACCCAGGCCTCATATTCGACACCAACTTCAAAATGTACTTAAGGTTCTTATGTTCAGTGCCGGGAGTGGATGATGACTCGGTGAGAAGAGCAGTAGGAGTGGGATGTCCTTCTGAGGGGAAGTTTTTGTGCTCTGACCTTAACACGGCAAGCATCACAGTATCGAACCTCGTGGGTTCAAGAAGGGTGGTGAGGAAAGTGAAGAATGTAGGTGCCGAGAGGGAGAGATACAGGGTTCGAGTTCGAGAGCCCGAGGGGGTAGAAGTGGGAATTGTGCCTACAAAGTTTGCAGTCAATGTGAGCGCGACTAAGTCGATCAGGATCTTGCTCAAGGCGATGGAGGCGACGAATTCTTACACATTCGGGGAGGTGGTGATGGAGGGTGATAAGGGCCATGTGGTCAGGCTCCCTTTAGCTGTGTCTGTGACCAGTGCTTTGGGTTCGGGTGAGGCCTGAGACCGTGGTGTTTGGCTCCCATTGCCAGTGAATTATGAAACTATGGGAGTGTTTGGATGAACGTTTTGTTTTTTTGTTATTTGCCTTTTTTATGGGAACCAAAACAAAGAAGATAAAGAGTGAGGTTTTGTCTTTTTACCTTCCAACTTTCACCTTGTTTACTTAAACCTGTCATCTGGCTTGTAGTGAAGTTGTGGAGTAGTGGCTTCTCTCCTTAAAGTTTTTATCTAGTGCTTTGAAAACTATGATTTGATTAATGAAAAAGATCATCAAATTGGCAACTGCAACTCTCACTATATTTGATTAATGAAAAAGATGATCAAATTGGCAAATGCAACTCTCTCTCTCTCTCCTTTGTTTTTAGGGAGTAAGTGGAGGAGAACCGTCAGTTCGTTTTTTATTAATAATGAAAAAAGAATAGGACAGTTGTGCTACTAACTCAATAAAAAGAAAATCCGGCAGTCTAGATAGCAAATAAAATAAAAAATCCGGCAGTCTAGATAGCAAATAAAATAAAATAAAATCCAGGGGGTGACTTTCTTAACAACAATATCAGCCACTGTATTGCCTCTCTCTCTCTAGATTTAATTAACGAAAAAGATCATCATATTGCCAAAGGGTGCGGTTTGTATAGAGCCTAGGCTTCAAATAGTGTTGAGAAATATGGTTTCAATATTGAAAATCTTTGTAATAGCCTTAAAATACATTTTCATATTTATTCATAAAGTTTAAAGATTAAAAAATTGTGTAGATCTATATATCTATAAAAACCTGAAAATCTTGAAAATTGATGGACCAAAAATGCGTCATAAAATACGCTATTTCCAAAACTTGAGATCCAGTTTTTTCTCATGTTCATGCATCTTGACGTCGAGATGATCAATTTGAAGATATTTCAACATCAAAACAACCTCTTCTACAACTGCAAGTTTTGAGGTAGGCTCAAATTTGATTGTTTAGAGCCTCAGCACTATATAAACTTTTCCCATTGAGAAATGCAACTCTCTCTCCATGTGCATTTGATTAATGAAAAAGAGGGTCAAAATGGCAATTGCACTAGGGTGCAGTTGGAATAGGGATGCATGTAGAAGTAACGTGCACCTTCAAATTTTATCATGATATATAATTTTGATGTAAAATGTTTTTAAGATTATCTAAAAATCTATATTTATATCTAATTATAAAATTTTAAATTTCAAAAATAGTTAAAATAAAGTAGGTTTACAAAGATACGAAAATCTTGAAAATAAATGGTATAGATAATATGTTGTGAAATGCAGCTTAAATTCTTTTAATTTTTCATGGTCATACATTAAAACTATTTTTTTTCCGTTGGATTTTTGAGGTGCGTCCCTAGTTCTACATTGTAAGGATGCATGCATCCTTATGTAAACTTTTTCCATTGCGCAATTATAAGAGTCTCTCTCCCACGTTAAACTGTCTCCCCTCCTGAGTGGTGAGTGTGCAGGGGGTCAGCTGACAAACGACCAAATGCAAATGCAGAGTCTTTGCCCATCTCTCGTTGCCTATATCTTCGCCCTTCTCCTCCACCCTTTCGGTATGTGCAATAAATGTAAACCCTTCTCTCTCTCTCTCTCTCTCTCTCTGTTGCTGTATTTTCGTTGATATCGAGAGATAATGGCAGTGTTACCCAGGTGCCCTGAAATCGGTATGCGGAGAAGAAGGATTGTGCTCAGTAACACCAGAGTTTACCTCTTGCGATGGAGATTCTATCTATGCCAAAGTCACCAATCCTACTCTTTCCCCTCACCATCTTCAAGGTCTCTCTCTCTCTCTCTCTCTCTCTCTCTCTCTCTCTCTCTCTCTCTCTCTCTCTCTCTCTCTCTCTCTCTCTCTCTCTCTCATAGTTCTGAACAGGTATTTCTTCACTGCTAGCTTTACTGTTGCATTTGTATTACCGTAACCTTCCCCATCACCATTAACGGTAGGGTTCAAGTCTCCTTCGAGGTGAAAGTTTCTCTGATGTGAACTCACCAAATATGGTAACAGTAACTTTGCTTTAGTAGGAAGTCACTCCTTGTTCGTGATAAGTGTTATGTTCTAAGTTTGAATGCATGCAAGTTCTATACTTTTGGGATTATGGTCTTCAAACAATTGCTAATTGTGATCGGAACTATTTTATATAATATTTGGGTTTGATCATAGTGCATGCTTGTTACCCTTTTATTGCTGTTCCCCTGTATTTTCCAGCCATGGTTCTCCTTTTTTGTCTTGTGAAGAAGGAAAATGTTATAATTAGGACCATACTGTCTTCTGTTGCTTTTGTTTTCCAATTTAGTTCTGAATTACATGTGATTAAGCTTGTTCTCTTTGATTTTCACGGCAGACTTACCAGGCTTCACACGTAGCCTATATAAAAGGGATCACGCCTTAATTACACCAGAAAGCCATGTCTTTAGCCCTCTACCTGATTGGTATTTGTTTCTATTACTTGTCAATGTAAGCTGCTTGTGTATATGTTGCTGGCTTTTCTTTCTTTTTTTTAAGTGATCCTTTTTTTTATTGGTCTTTTCAGGGTAAATACATTAGGAGCATACTTAATTACTCCAGCAATGGGTGCACACTTCGTGATGTATTTGGCAAAGATGCAAGGTCAAATTCTCTTTCATTCTTACATAACAAACATTCATACCAATCAAGGTTGTGCAAATAAGAATCAATTAAGGTTTAGATTTGAGACATTAACATGGCACCAAGTGTTCTAAGCAGTGGTCATGCTTTTTTAATCACAAACGATTGTTTCATTTAATAGGAACTGTACATTAGATTTGGTGCTCATCTCAAGACCATGTAGATCGGTTGGCCCTTCAACCATCGTATTATAGTCTCGCTGGACGTGAATTTGACTTGGGTTGTTGCAAATGCATTCTCAAGTGGAGTTTAAATTCTGAATGGTGGCTTTATGGGGACATGAATCTTGGAATCGAATCCTTTTAAATATATCCTTATGAAAAACAGGATTCCCTAAATGTTATAGTAAAGAAAAGGAGGGGGGGCGTTTGGGATGGTCAAGTTTATGTACTGATGTTGACAATGGAGTGCCCCTATGATAATATGTGATATTGCTTGTGTGCCTACCATTTTGTTATTCCCAGAAATATAAGTTTTGGAGCAACTGTCTTTAGAATTTCTTAGCTATAAAGAATGTCTAGCCCCAGTAGCAGTAACACTGTCTGCATTTTTATATTCCTGAAAAGTTTTTTCTTCAGTCTTCTTGAAGGTAATAACTGATGTTGCTGATTTTTTCAGACAATTCGAGTTCGGCGCTGCCTCCTGAAGATGTTGAAAGGTGGATGCTTGTTACATTTGTATCTAAAATGATTGTGAGCCTATTCATATATTTCGAACTGGCAGACTTGGTGTTATTAATTATGAATCTCATTTGGAATTACTTGATTTGTAAATATCATTGGAAATTATTATGTAGGGGGTCTGATATTGCAAGAATGATTCTTTGCTCTTTTAGTTTTCCAGATAATAGAATTCAATGCTGCCAATATAGCACAAGGTTCTCAAGTTTTAGGCCCCCGTTTGGGAACACAGGTTTAGAGCCATAGACATAAATCTCCCTTACACTTTCTAATGAACTGGCACACCACTATTGACATTGCTACTTAACTTGTGGAACCCCACTTCTCAGGAAAATGCAACCGAAAAATCCCTTTGACTACAAGAGAAAAAAACTCTCTTTTTTCTATCCTCAAAAAAGTGGATAGTCTTCCACATGATTATGACCATTGAAGACTACTTTCTTTCACGATTGCCCACAAAGGCAACTGCAGGTATCCCTTTGATATGATTACCAAGACGTCCAAGCAGGGCCTTAGATTGGAATGGCAATAGAGCTTCAAATGGTGCTTTGTCCATTCTGAAACATCCAGTTTTCCCTCTCTGCACACCCCTTCCACATCCATATTATATCCTCTTTATTGTTGTTCTCTAATGTCTCATGCATATTCCCAGACTTGTATTTCCTGTTTCTTCCTTTTCCTTATCTCATTTTCCAGGGATTTGCAAGGCCTAACCGATCATCTTATTTCTAGCCAAAAAAATCTTCTTATTTGTACCTGTGATGTTTCTGAAGTTGTCTAAGGACTCTTTCTTCAAATTCGCCTAACTTCTGTCTGTATTTTTTATTTTTTGGATGATGTTCCAGGTTCTTTTTTGTAGTTCAAGGCACTGTTATTCTAACAAATGCTTCTGGGACTGATCATAAATTAATTGTAAGACATTTCTCTCTAGTTTCTACTGTATTTGTCTCTTGCACAGATAAGCTTCCTCATCTGGCTTATGATTTATGTATTCACTAATGTTGGTGTTTCATTCTTTTCACCAGTCCATTATTTTGATTATGTCTTATCTGATCAATTCATCAGCACTACAGATATCAAACGAGTTCTAGTCTCCAATTTAACAAGTTCAATATTGTGGCAGCCTTTTTGCGAAATTTTCTTATCTTTTTCATTGGTTAATTTTGTTCATCACATGGTGGCATATCGAGAATGGGCTCTAGCCAGAGGTGGTCAGGGTGATGGGTACAGAGGTGGTCAGGGTGATGGGTACCACAACATGATGTCTAGAGTTCCATTCTCACCAGGTCCCAAATTAACATTAAAAAAAATGGTGGTATTTCTCAATGTTCTTCTGAAAATGCATGTTTAAAATGCCTGCAACAGTTTTTTGTATCCAATTCCTTGGGTGCCTATAAGTTACTCTTTTTTTTCTCATCAAATCTGCTGGACAAGATGGAGTTTAATACTCAAATTTGATTGAATTGTAGGTGGATTCTTATGCATATTTACCAAGCAATTTCAAGCACATTCTTAAGTGTGATTCATCTGCCACACTTGTTGTGATTGAGCGAAGGTTTTCTCTCCTTTTCCTTGCTCTGTTGTAATGCTTTTTTCGCTCAGAGTTATTCGTTTGAGTTGTTGCTTGTGAATCATTCTGGCAGATACTTCAGGCTAAGTAATTCCGCGCATGTTGTAGATTCTGTACTTTGAAGTCTAGATTGAGTTTGAACTTTGAAGCTTTGCTTATGGCTTGTAATCATTCCACACCTCTACTGGCTTTTTTAATTCTCTTGGTGGCCTTTGTAAAGGGCATCTTAGGAAAGTCCTTAAATTGTTCATCTTATCTACATGGAAAATTTAGCATTCTGTTTTGACTGTGATTCCTCCTGTTTCTCTAGCTTTTTTCATTTAAGGTTCCATTGATATTTTTCTCATGCTAACTTAGGTACCATGCTTTGGAGAATCATTTTGTTGAACTTATTATTGGTTCAACAGATGCGCAGCCACTTCTGGAAACTAGTGGAGAGGTACACACTGAGTATTGCGGTGTTTATGTTTGTACTAGACTTCATAAGTGGCTTGCTGAGTATTGCTCTATGCTACTGTGTGTAATGCTTATGGAGTTGCTCTTTGATTGCTTTCAGGTTTTTCAAATAAGGAAACTGCTCCCAACTTCCATCTCATATGATTTTAACATTCATGTGAGTTGTTCTTTTGACAACATCGGCTTTCTTAGTTGCCTTATATCATGTTCAGTTCAGTCCTAAAGATTCTGTGTCCTTAAGGCTTTGCTTGCAAGCGGCATAGTTGAGCAAGGCAATGGATTAGCGGCAATGCTCGACACACCTCATATTGGCCGCATTTTGCATGATTGCGCTAATGTAAAAGGGGTAAAAGAGAGGGCCATTAGTGTTGAGTGTTGACCACCAACATGATGCGATCAATTTGCTAAACAATGGATTCTGACCCCTTCCTAAACAAAACCTAGAAGTATATATTTTGTATATATAGTATTATATCCTTAAATATTTCTTTATAATTAATAAGAAATTCCTGTCATGGTCCTCACCTTCCCAAGTGTTTGCATAGAGTATTGCCATTTCTTTTCTTTTCTGTTGTATACTAAATGTCAAATTATATAGTGTGAATTCGTACCTTGTCAGAAATTCATGGAGATCAGTAAACTGTATGGTGGATAGCGTGGCCCTGACTTTCTATCATGTGATTGATAAGCCTGATTGCCATATAGACACAGCGAAGTAGTGATCTGTATATCATAAGTTTTACTTTCATGAGTGAATATTTTTGACCCGGCTACCTCATTGCCTTTTTCTTTTGGGTACGGTTTGTATAAAGCCGAGGCTCTAAACAATCAAAATAAAGCGCACCTTCAAATAGTGTCGACAAATGTGGTTTCAATACTGGAAATCTTTGTGATAGCCTTAAAATATATTTTCGTCTCTAATTATAAAATTTAAAGCTTCAAAAATAAATTGAGCAGATATATGAAAACTTGAAAATCCTAAAAATTGATGGTCCAAAAATGCATTAAAAGATGCACTATTTCCAAAACTTAAAATCCATTTCTTTCTCATGTCCTTGCATCTTGAGGTCGAGATGATCAATTTGAGGATCTTTGGGCATCAAAACAACCTCTTCTAGTGAAATTTTTGAGGTGTTCCCTAATTTGATTGTTTAGACCCTTGCACTTATATAAAAATTTTCGTTTTTTTTTTGGAAATGGCTTTTATGAGTCGGATGTCTCATTTGTAGATATTCGCCCTCTGTCCATGATTTATTTTTTAGATGGATTTTGAACCCTATTTTTTACAAATAAATAATCTCTAACATGGGGATCATTAATATGTAAAAGAAAATAAATTTTAAAAATTAAGGGCACGTTTGTTTCACGTGAAAGTATTTCCTGGGAATATTTCACCTTAAAGAATTCCTTCATGTGGTTAGGTGTGGGAATATTTTCACAATTAGTCCTAACGCATCTTTTCACACCAATTGGCAACTAATTGGTGTGAAAATATTCCTACAACTAATTCTTGGGAAATATTTTCACATTAAAGAATTCCCTCATGTAGTTAAGTCGAACCAAACATGCCCTGAACAAATGATATTTTGAAGAGTAATTTTAGACTGGCCATTTTAATTTTCTGTGGGTACCATCTTTTTACACCCATCCTTAGGATGGATGTTTGATGCGTCAAGGAATGCTAATGTAGAATTGCATCCCGTGGCACGCAATATACTTTTCCTTTCTTTTTTGCAGGTTTCTTAAGGTCTTATTCAAAAATTTAAAAAAAAAACTAAAAAAAAAGAGGGGTTTCTTATGCAAAGATGCTGTGATGGTGCAGATCATGGATTTCAACCCTGGAGAATATCTCAATGTGAAGGTCAGTAGGATTTGATATCTTTGTATGGCTACTCTTCTATCAGAAATTTTAGCCCATTTATCTCTTGGTAATGTGATGTCTTGAAATTTAGCATGACCTCTTTATGGCTATCTGTTTCCTCCCCTGATTTCACAAAGGAAATTCATATGATAAACTGCTTCTGTGATTTTCCATCTTTTTCTTATTCATTTCTATTTGGGATACTGTTGGTATTAGACCCACCTGGCTTTTGGTTGGGGGAAGTGAATATAATGATTTGTAAGATTGTTTATTTGGATCAGGAGGTTCACTATAATCAGCATGGTTTACTGCTTTTAGAAGGACAAGGGATATATCGCTTGGGTGACAGCTGGTAAAACATATTCTTTTGTTTTCAGGGTTATGTGTTTACTTTTTGTGCCCCTGGTGTCTATCTAGTGCTCCATTTGCCTGAGGTGTACTGGGGATTCCACACTTTGTAGTTCTCATACTGGATGTATAACACGATGTTTGATGGTTAGAGAGTCTCTCTCACTTACCATGAGAATTAAGCATCTCAGACAATCCCCCCACCCCCGCGGGGGATGGAAGTTGGATTGGATCTTTTGTGGAAGTTCAGATTTGTGCTGCCTGGGTTAGCATCTGATATCGCAATGTGGATAAAAGATGCAATCTGATTGTTTTTGCTAAGTAACAACTATTCCTTTGAGATCTAGTGGATCCTTGCAGAGGGAAATGTGAAAATCTGAAACTGCAAACCCAATTTCATTGCAAATGTGTTCCTCAATACTTATAAGACCAAATAGAGAACTGGAGGAATATTTGGGTCAACTAAAGAATAATTCCCTTAAAATTGGAAAGTTTCGAGTTCCATGCAAACCGTACTTCGGCTTCATGTCTATCGTATTTATATGGAGGTCATTTTTTATCTTTTTTAACACATTCAGTGCATTGCGTTTCCCTTTGAACTTCTTGTTCATTTTTTATTTAGAATAATACCAGTATTTTTTGTTTAAATGTCAACTAGTGCTTTTTTTTTCTTTTTCTTTTTTTTTTTCCCTTTTTTTTCCTTGTAAAACAGGTACCCAGTTCAATCCGGTGATGTCATATGGATGGCACCATTTGTACCTCAATGGTAAGACTGAGATTCACCATTTGAAAGTCACCCCTCATTCTCATGATTTTAATGTTTCCTGATAGTAGCTAATCAAAACAAAAAAGAACTAATCATCGTGTTGTTAATACCGTGCAGGTATGCTGCCCTTGGCAAATGTCGGTCACGCTATCTGCTATACAAGGATGTTAACAGGAACCCATTGTAATGCATTCATATATGTGGTATGTACTGCGGCTGTTAAACTATGACATTTTGATGAGTTACCAAGCTTGAAATTGCATCTTTTATTGTCATGTACACAGACCGAATACTCGTCTTCCTATATAAGTATTCCCCAAAAACTCCCGGTAGATGTTATTTACATGCATACTATTCAGAAATATCGAGGCCATTTGCTAAATTTTAATTCTGATTCCACCTACAACAGATGTTGACTGGAAAGCAAGGTTTAAGGCAGCAGTTCTCTTGAAACCCATCTCAAATATGGAGTATGAGCCATATGGTATTCTTGTCTACAATAAAGAGATTAGTGTTTTTGCATGTGTTTCAAAACTGCTACGGTCTTTTTTTTATTTGTTTGGGTTAATTTCTTACTAGAACAATTGGTATCATTACTGGTATTATTGCGGGCAGTTTAAAACCAATACACTTTTTCGTCATGTGCTATTACATGTGGGTTATTTTGTATACCAGCGCACCTCTTTGTTGGCCGATGGTGTGTACCACTTTATTGGCTTATACTCTCCCACCTCCTTGATGGCCAATAATAGTCCACCTCTTTTATAGCCCGTAGATGTCATATAAGACATCATCGCCTCTTGGATGGTCCATAGAAATCTCAATTGTAGTGAGAGAAGGTAATTTCATTTTTCATATTTGCTAAATTTTGTAGAGACCTTATCTACTATTAAGCCAATTTTTTCTTGAATGTTTTTTGCCATTTGAGCTCCAATCGAGGCCGTCATAGAAGTTTGGTACAGTGTTTCTAGGTGGTCTGCTGTGCTTACAAACTAGTGAGTGATTAAACAATGCTTCAATGGGATTGATGTATCTTGGGGGTATCATCACCACAGCCTATTGCATCTTGGAAATCCCAGCAGGGGCTTTGAATACCTTGAAGACAGTGAGACGATTGTCCCCAAGTTCGAGTTGAGCACAGTTTTGTCTATTTTTTTATTTTTCTGCTTTGGAGTTTGTCTTGTTCAAGACTTAACAGTTTTTCCACCTTGCTGGAAATCTCACCGCAGTTGAATGAGGTCTCACCATGGTTACTCTCAGAGCTTCATGCTCAGTGGTATTGTTTTATGCAATCTTACTGCAGTTAACTATGTTCCCATCAATTAACACTTGAGTTTTCACTACGGTTAACTGTTCATACTGCAGTAACTGTTTTCACCATAGTTAAAGACTTAAATCCAGTTTTCACCAAGTTTAACTTAAATCCAGTTTTCACCAAGTTTAACAGTTATATACAACAGCTAACTGTTCTCACCACGGTTTTTACTTGAATCAACTTCCACTGCAGTTAACAGCTTTTACTACAGATAATTATCTTTGTGCTTAGCAGTTAGACTCCTGCTTTTCTAGAACGCATTAGCCACATATAATTTGGATACCAGTACGGCTAGTATTTAAGTATATAGATTTCGTAGTCTTTGTCACTTATGCGCATGAACCGTGCCCCATTGTTTTATATAGCCACCATTCAATCAAGAGCCTCTAAACATAAATAGGCTGAAGCAACATATTTGAGATCATTGTCCCTTTCTATGTCGTCTATGTGACTCCTCGTTGTAACATCCTATCTTTTAATTGCTTTTTTGTACCCATGGACCAACAACTTGCTAATTTGTGCTGCTGCTAATGAATTACTTTGATGTATCTAAAACTAATAAAACTTACAGGTACTATACATAATATGATTTTATAAAAGCTACATTCTTGTTCTAGATGGAAAATTGGGTTTGTGATCCAACATTGGCCACTTAAAACGAGGGAGTCAAGCATACATAGAGAAACTTGGTCTACCTTTATAGTACCAGCACCAAGGAAAGAGGCAACCTTATGTGGAGTATGCGATGCGCATGCGTTCACTTTGTGTGATAGCATCGCGGCCCTTAGCCCTTGCTTTTGTACATCACTCATCTTTCTGGACCGTGTGCTGATTTTTGGTATTATCTATGCAAGGGCAACAAATCACTCATTCTGTATGGAATCAAATTGTCACTTTCTGAAATTTGTTTTCCTCCTAAAGATAAGAGGCAATCCTCCAGCTCTTTCTGTTTTTACTGTCTTGTACATGGAACAAGTAAAAGTTAGATGTTCATCTACTTCATTGTATCCCGAAGATAATTTTACCTCAAGCCTTTATGTACACTGACATTCATCTCAAATAGGGGGAAAATATTATTTTGAGAAATTACCATTAAAATTTGTGTCTAAAACAGATGCTATAGTCTTCCCATTTCGTCTCGTACATTGATATTAGCATATATTTTCTAATGCATTGATTCTTGTGTTATCTCTTCTTCTTTGATTCTTAAGTATTTTTCTTGGGCATTGGTTCCTGCTCATTTTCACTTCTTGCGCATTGATTTCTCACTTCTTGCGCATTTCTTATTTTCCTGTTTCACCCCTTCTGCAAACGCAACATCAGGTATCACCTAATGACCCACTAGATCCAAAATGCATGACCTTGGTCCATGCAAATTGTACGCATGGAACCAACACTTGGCTTCCTCATTGACCCGCTTTATAACATGGTTTGATTTGTCACAACTCCCAAACCATTTTGTGTTTCAATTGCGAAGGAGGCATGAGTTTATTATAACCTATTGTATGTTCTACCCTTTACAATACGTTAACATTTGTATTAGGTTATCTATCTGACATACCCATCCAATGTACTACATTTATATATTAGTTATTTGGATTATTTATATCCTTTATTGCGAAGTTTCCATAGGACTCCCAACCAGTAACTTTCTTGCATAAATATTCCTGAGTTTTTTTTGGCGCATCAAAAATTCCCAATTCAAACCTTTCAATCAGAAAACCTCCAGGCCTGATTTTCTGGCATTTACTTCCTAAGACGCCCTTCATTCGTAGGAAATACCGCTCTAGAAATTTCTCTGTCATTCCACCCTAAGAAAACACAGAGTCTCTGCTTTCTCCACCCTCTCTAGTACTACTGTATATAGATAGACAGCTTCATCATCCTCTATGACTGAGAAAAACTCTATTTTTTTTTTGGAGGTTTCTCTGATGGTAAATTCCCTTATTTACTGTTGCTCCAAACCTCTGTTAACCCCTCTAATTCACCACTATAGCTTAGTAGCTGCAAATCTCTTGCTGAATTTCAGAAATAGTGGCTGGAATACAAAACATTAGACGATTTCCAGCAAAAAATTGGGATTTTCTTTTAGACGCATGACTCATTAATAGGTTGGCAGAGGATGGCCAAAAGTTGGAGGAAGAATTGGGTAGAGTGGATTTTTTATTTGAGGGAGCAGATGATGGATCGATGGTTTATTTCTTTGCGATTTGGGGGCTTATAACTTGGGTTTTGCAAGTTGTTTAGACTGATAATTCAGCTGTATAGGTCTTTTTTTATGGAATTGCAAGCTTATCAGATAGCCATAAGATGAGTTTTTTTTCTTTATGAATTATTGAAATTTGCTGTTTGGTGGTTGCCTATTGGTTCTGACTTTTGTCTTCACTCTATTACTTTAGATATGGTTTCTTTGTTATGGATTATTCATTTCATTTGTTAGAACGAAGAGTGGAGAGAGAGACGCTTGTGGGTTTACTGAGAGAGAGAGAGAGAGTCTTTTCTATTTTTCGTTTGGCTAAACCAGAGAGTTAATACCTCCAAGCTGGTTTTGGCTTTTAATCAAGTCATTATTAAAATCTAATATACTGCACTTTCTTTTAGCAAAGTTAACGAGTATGGGGTTTATGCTCAGCTTACTTGGAGGAAAGAAAATTAGAAAGATGGTTATAAATAAGACTTGTTATGGAATCCTCTTCAAAAAGCCGATTAAATACAAAGACAGACATGTTTTATTGAGTACAAAAACTTGAGAAAGCCAGATGTCAGACACATTGAAATACCGAATGAATGAAATCATAGAACACAATCTCAGAAACCACTGTTTCACTTCATTTTGTTTGTATTCACTTAGCAAATTAGGAGGTGGATCAGAGAATGTAGCAAATCTTCCTCCTTTTCCTCTCTTTCTTTGGGTTGGGTGGCTGAAGTACCACCTTAATCGCAGCGTCGAAAACACTCTTCACATTCTGCATCATAATCCAATGCAGCTCTTGTTAAAGAAAGCCCATTTTCGGAAAAATAGAAACACTCCTCTAAAAGGAAGCTCAAATCATCAAGAACGATTTAAATGAAGTAGAATAAAATTGAGTAAGTATTCATGTAACTCAGGCATGGAATATCACCTGCTGTGTTTTGGAGCTACACTCCACATAGGCTGAAGCACCAATTTGCTTCTTCAGTTCTTCACCCTAAAAATAAAGAATTGAATATTAGCCACCAAATTTTGAATTCAAATTTCATGTCCTATTTGCAATTGGAAGTTGGTAAAAATTTTCTTCTTTTTTTTTTTTTCTTCTTTTTTGTACGCATCAGAATATCACAAACGAGCTGAAGTTTAAGAAAAGTAATAGTTTCATGAGCTAAACTGCTATTAGAAAGACAACCAAACATACAAGATCACCGCAGAAAGAGGAAGAAGTACCTGTGCTGTTGATATGGTAGTTGCACCGGGATGATCGAACAAGAACTGTTTGTCATCCCTTAAATCTGTAACAATTGCCGGACTGTGTCATACTAAATGTCTTGTTATCTTAGTAAATGAACTGGCTTTACGCTGTAAAATGTAAAAAGAAGGAAACCGCACCATTCTCTCTCTCTCTCTCTCTCTCAGACGTTCCTGGTTTGGATTAGTGCTATCAAGACAAGACCTTGGTCCAAACAAGAGAACTGCCGACCAGCCATGTGGCTGGTGTGGTCAGATCATCATCATCAAAGCATTTTCCCATCTATTTGGATCGGATCATCAAACCAAAAATTTGATAGAACGGATTATTGATTTTGTCACTTTTATGACCTGACCCATAATTTGGACTTTTCAGCATAGATTTGGCACAATCTTTCAATTGGATTTTTGCTTCTCTATTTTACTCCCTCCTACACGCCTACCATATTTGTAATTTGATCTTATTTTTAGACAAAATCTGCTCACTGAAACTGTACCTTTCTTTGCTCGTAACTCATGACCCAACAATTTTAGATTTCTTGGCTAAATTCCCCTATCTTTTCCCCATTTCATAAGCTTGCGGAAACCGTACCTTCTTTCTCTTTCTACTCCATTTCCTAATGCTACTCTTCTTTTTTTTCAATTATCCTTCTCTGTTTATTTTTACTCCATCTCTGATTTGGCATACATCATATTGGATTAGAAATTTGAATCCACTCCTTTAGAAGTTTAAAAATTGTAATATTTTGTTAGATTCAAAATCATAAGTCCACTACTTTTGAGCTCGCAAACTGTCATCACCAAAGTTGCAAAATCAAAACCTAATTTCCTCTTCTTTTATATACATGTTTGTTACTTAATTTTTTCCTTCTTTATTATTTTATTTTTTTTCATTCTCTTACTTTTTGATAGAGAAGTTTATGCTAATATCCCTCCAAATTAGCATTATCTAAAAGGACTACAGCCAATTTTTAAATTTTACACATGTACCCCTTTTTAATTTTTTATTCCTAAATTGTCACCACTTTGAATATTCTAGATCAGTGACAAAGTCATTTTATTACTTTTGATTACCTATATACAAAGTCATTTCAATATTCGAAGTCCTAGTTGACTTCAAATTTTGAATATCCAAAATAAGGTCCTTATATATAAAGTCAAATGTAATATTAGACTTTCAAGATCCAAAATCAAATTTGCATTTGTATATAGGGCCAGGACTTCATAAAATAGTTTTGCAACTTCGTACTTTGAAGATACCAAGTGGTGGGAATTTTGGAATAAAAGTTTTTTTAAAAAAAGTATGCATATAAAATAGATAAATGAGATGTAATATTATAACAATGATTTAGGACGATATTTGCATTAAATTTCTCTTTATAATAACAATTTTTAGGGGAAAAATAAGGCCTTTCCAGTCTTACCGGTTTCAACCCAGCCAATCCCTTCGGTTGTGCAATGGCTGGTCCAGGCTACTTTGCATACCAAAGACCCCTGGATTTTCATTGTTTCTAAGGTATAATCCTATCTCTTAAAAATCGTAGAAAAGTAGCCAAAGTTGAAGTACTTGAATCCATTACTAAGTAACGATATATCCAGACTCCAAACATATTTCGACCCGGCAAGTCGACCCTACCTTGGTCCAAGTTTGAGCTGGAAAATTGGAAATTGGACCCAGTCTGTCAAGCCTAGATCCAACACATCCAGACCCGACCAGGTCCAAGTCTAGCCATGACCTATGAAGGTTAGGTCAAGATTCGGATTTGGCTTGGCCCAACCCAAACCAAGTGGTTGTGTGAGTGAAAGGGGTGAACCTGGTGGCTCCATCTACCCGAGTCCAGGTCTAGGTTCGAGCCTTAAATCATCAGTCCGGTCCAAGTCCAACTGGCTGGGACCTAGCTGGATCAGGGTCTACCCAACTCGTTTATAGCCCTAAAGGCACGCTAAATTGCGGTGGATGATTGGTCAATGTTAATAAGTTAATTGAAGAACTTAACTTGAAAAGGAAAGGTGGAGGAAAAGTACATCACCTAGTTTTGTGCCAACAAGAACTATGGGAACGGATGGGGCATAGTGTCTCAGCTCAGGGACCCACTGCTTTCACCACAAAAACGAAGCCATAAGTAATGAGAGAGAGAATTAGGGCTACCTCCGGAAAAGTTTATACAAGCCCTAAACAATCCAATTTGAGCCAGCTTCAAAAATTTCACTAGAAGAGGTTGATTTGATGCCCAAGTATCTTCAAATTGATCATCTCGATATCAAGATGCATGGACATGAGAAAAAAATGGATTTTAAGTTTTGAAAATAGCGTATTTTGTAATGCATTTTTTAATTGTCAATTTTTTTAAGTTTGCATAAATCTGTCGATCTATACTATTTTTGAAACTTTAAACTTTATAAATAAATATGAAAATCTATCTTAAGGCTGTCACAAAGATTTCCAGTATTGAAACCACATTTCACAGCACTATTTGAAAGTAGGCTCTGATTAGATTGTTTAGAGCTCAGGCTCTATACCAACCGCACCCAAGAGAGAGAGAGTGATGGGGTGACCTTTTTAGCTATATTCTCAAAACTGGGCCTGCTAATGAGAGAGAAAGCCAGAAGGAAGACGTCGGCCCCTCTGTAACTAAGTGGCCTTAACCTGTTATAGTCTTCTTGACCTGCTTTTCAATAGAGACTTTAGAACCTCACAAATAATCATAATTTTCAAACTAATATTTTATGGAAAAGTATACAATAATATTATTTATTTTTGGTACAAGGTGATTACAATTAAATGTGAAATTGGGTGCTTGCATTTATTCCATTGACCAAGATCAATATTCAAAAGATATTTTTTTGTAACTTTGTGAACACCCAGATTATAAATAAGGAAAATGGTTTGATAGGGTTGCAGCCTTATCAAACCATTTTCCCCATCAAAATAAGCAAAGCCTCAGTTTATAACTCATCGAAAATTACAATTCAAGCGTTAGAAAAATTTTACATTGACCATCTTGGCTTAAACACCAGAGTTGTGAAACAAAAAAAGATTTCAAGCTCTAAAAATATGGTTATTGTGACAAATTATCTTGACTGTCCATTTCCCCCTAAAAATAAATGTTCACAAAATCGCAAGATCTATACTATTTTTTTAGTTTTGGATTTTATTGTCGGTGTTCGAAATTGACTTTATTGCCATCATGGAGATTTCCTTTGCCGAAAGTGGTTTTTGGACAAGGATTTAAGGTGAAGTTTTATTTTGTTCTCATAAAACCCAAACCTTATAGAAACCTCATCCTATAAATAATGGGAAAGTATAGATCGAGACCAGTTACCTTTAGTACAATGCAAGACATTAATCTTGACCATTGGATGTGAAATTGTTGGCTACACTTATTCCATTGACCGAGCAAGTTTAAACTTCAAAAGAAATTTTTCAAACTTTATGACACATCAAAGCTTTCAAACGTCACATCGGATGGTTTTAAGTAATTGTGACCAACTTGTATCAAAGGTTTTAAATAATTGTGACCATCTTGTATTAAAAGTAAATGGTTTCATTGTATACAATCTCATAAATAATTGTGACCTCCTTACACTGTAGGTAAATGGTCTCATGTATGCAATCTCATTATTTACACATACTCATAAATAATTGTTACCTCCTTACAATGTGGATAAATGGTCTCATGTATGCAAACTCATTATTTACACATATTTATAATAATTTAATGTTTGCACACACAGGGAACTCACGCTCTTATGGGATAAAGATATGATGTGCACTAGGGTACTATATTTTTATTTTCTTTTTGGGTTATTTTGGGAATGTGCAATTAATGCTTGAGTTCCCTATTTAAGGAGTGCACATGAAGTGCTTGAGCTCTTAGTGGAGTATACGGTTAGGAAGACATCATCATTGGAAGCATGCCTTTGTGTGTGAAAATAATTAAAGGGATATTATCTATTCCGACTTCTTATTTAAAATACCGAGAAAAGTTAAAAATATATTTTGTTTTTAGCAAATACCCCCAATCAAAAAGTTATATTTATTTGAATCAAAATGCTCTTGTCCGTACAAACTCGCGTTACATCCCTATAAGATGCGCAATGATCAAAGGTTACCTGCCGGACCGTGGTAAAAAATTGTCAAACCGGTACATTAAAACCACTGTTGGACCCTTGCCAGAACGCATGAAAAATATGTCGTACTGAGATAAAAGAGTGTCGAATCAATATCACCTTCTGCAGAACTGAACTAAAATCTCTACCAAACCCCATTGAATATTTGCCGGACCGAGGGCACCATGTGCCTAACCACGTGCATACTATGCCAGCAGAGAGCACAATGTCGGACTGGTAGTTGGAAGTGTAAGACCGAGTGCACCTCATGTTGGGGATGTGACGTGAGCTTGTACAGACGAGGGTATTTTGGTTCAAAAAATATGCCTTTTTGACGAGAGATATTTGCTAGGAAAGTATTTTTGAGGTAAAAGTGACGATCAAAAAATTTGTTAAGGGGACGTTGTCTAGAAATTGGGGGGGGGGCATGTGCAATTTTCCCAAAAGAAATTTATGGGACCAAAGTAAAAGTTGTGAACATTCATACATGTTTTTTTTTATCTATTCTAAGGGTCCATCTTTCGTTAGATCAAATTTCAAATAGCGTATCAAATGACATATCAAGAAGAATTTTGAAATTTTATCAATTTACAACAAGGGTGAAATGCTAAGCACTTGAATTTTAGGTGTATTTTGATAAATCTCAAAAATAAAATAAAAAAACAACAATTGATCACCATTAAATAACCCTGACATAAGTTGAACCAAAGTTGAGGCAACCTTACAGTGAAGATGAACCTTTAAGCGTTTTTTTTTTATGAGAAGGCTTCTCAAACAATACTCTCTTTAATTATTCATAGGAGTGACAAATTGCAAAGCTACCATGGAATTATATGACATGACCAAAAGAGGAAACCTTTCACAAAAAAAAAAAGGCATTTGACGAGCAATGACAAATCTACCAGAAAAGTTAGGTACCTTATTTTGACAAGGATCCATTCATTAATGGCTGAATAACTAGGATCCCATTCTAACTATGAAGCTAGTTGAAATAATAGCACTAGGAGGGTGACCTCCTAAGAAACAAGCATAATTAATTGGGAAAAAAAGAAAAGAGATGGTTATAATTTTATCATGGGCTAGCACCAAACTCATTCATTGTTTGAGGCATAACCATAATTAGCTCCTAACACTTCAAAAAAAAAAAATTCCTTTACTAATCTATTGAAGTCATATTTTAGAAAAGAATTTCAGTATACCTGCTGTGTTAGGGGGACGATCAAAAAAATTGTTAGGGGGACGTTGTCTAGAAAAAGAGAGAAGAAGAAGACAATATACCTGCTGTGTCCCATAGACCAAGATTGACAGTTTGGCCATCAACCACCACATTTGCACTGAAGTTGTCAAACACAGTGGGCACATAATCCTGCCCAAGCCATTACAATTTTTGGTACTTTACTGTGTAAGAAAAAACCCATTTGTTCTATGGTAATCAACTAGAGTGCAGCCTTTGAATTTCTATATTGAATCCTCAGACCTCAATATAGTCAGAGAAAAACAAATTAGATAGTAGATGCATAGAAAGAGAGGACAAAATAATAAATGGTCACATAGTGTACAATTCCATAATAAAAAGCTCTATTCTATTTCATAAAAATACTTGGTATATATATTACTTCTTCTTTCTCCTAAAAATGTTACTTCTTCTTTCTCCTAAAAATGTTTCTTCTATTATTTGATGAATACACAAGACAAATAGATGATCGTATAGATGAAGCCAGTTAATTAATTAGCTAGAGGGAGAGATAGAGAGGGTCTTACAGTAGGGAAGGTGTTGCTGGTGTAGGAGATGAGGAGACATGTCTTGCCCACCGCCCCGTCTCCCACAGTCACACACTTGATGAATTTGGAGGTGCTCATCTAATTTTTCATGAACTTACACTCAATCAAACAACAAAAAACCAGAAACCACCACTGCCCAACACCTATATCAGAGCAAACCTCTCTCTCTCTC